AATTTGCATGCCTGTGTTCCTTAAGGAGGTTGGCATGCTGCTCCGACCCGCCCCTGGGGCCGCTGAGCCTGCGACCGAGTCCCAACGTGGTGTCGCATGCCTGCTATCCCAGCGCTGGGGAGCCTGAAAACAGGAGGATCACTATGAGTTAGAGCTGTGTAGTGAGACCCTGTACCAAACACATAAAATGGGGGGGGGAAAAAAAAAAAAAGGAGATTGGTGTGTAGTTTTAGGTTTTGCTTGGGTCTTTTTCTAGTTTTTGAACCAGGTTAATGGGTGCTTCTAGGAATAACTGGATGTACTTCTTCCTTTCCATCTCAATAAAGGTTTTAAAGAGTAAAAATAAATAAATAAAATAAGTAAAAATAAAATGTTATATACTATTACCAAGTACATAAAATAATGTTCATGCAGAGGAAAACTCAATATCATAAAAATGTGATTCTCCCTGACAGAACATAATGTTTAGTGAAATTATAATTGGATCTTCATGCATTTCTTTCTTTTTGTATTTTAGGAAGGGTCTACAGGGTGTTCAGGGTCTCACTACTAGGTAGGACTCATAGTGATCTGCCTGTTTACAGCCTCGCAAGAGCTGGGGTTACAGGCGTGCACCACCATGCCCAGGCTCAATTACTGTCTCAGCATGCCCAGGGGATGGGGCCGGCACGGCAGGCCCAGGGATCGGACCCCGGCCCCTGAACCTACTTGCAGGTGCTTTAATCCGCTGAGCTATTTGGCCGGCCCTTCATGCATTTCTTCCAAAAATTATGAAAACCATTTCTAGGAGTCATAGGAATGTATGCTAGTGACTGTATATTAGGCTGTGAAAATACCTTTAAGCAAGATTATTTCATGGCTCAAATACCATAAAGTATGTTCTTGCTCATTAATTGGTGTAAAGCAGGCATTGCTAGTCAGTGGTTAGTCTTTGTCTCAGGATTTAAGGAACGAGGTTTGCTCCTTCTCCTGCTTCACTGTATTCTAAGATAACCTGACAGAAAGAGGAAAGTAGAATGGCACATCTATTTCTTAAGATTATGATTAAGGGCCAAAGAGATTGCTCAGTGGTCTTAAGCAAGTTTAGGCAAGCTTAGAAAGGATCCCCAGCACCACACACAGTGCCAGCCCTGTCCCCAGGGCAGCCTGAGCTGGCCATAAAAAAAAAAAAGAAAAAATATGAAAACTATCACATAATTCTGTGGCTTACATTCCTTTGGCTAAAAAGAACCATTGTGTTATTATATAAGAAATGTAGCTTTGATCTCAGGGGGATAAAAAGAAGACTAGCGATCACTCAGTCTCTGCCACAAATGGGAATTACTTGGTGATAATATATAACATTTTAGTGTCTACAAAAGATCCTTTGAATATTTGTACTAAAATTGCTCACTAAAATTGATGAACCATAACTAATGCCTTGATGCTTTGCCTGTGTGTGTTAGTAATTGCTGATCTTCAGACATGCTACTGATTCCTTACTATACTTAAGACAGTTCAGAAGACACTGAGAGTGGCAAGGCATTTCCCAGCACTTGGGAAACTTTGTCATGAATCGCTAGTACCTAGACTGTGTGTAAGAAATACACAAAGCGATTACTTGAAAGGACAAAGCATTTCAAATGCATACATATGTAGATAATGTAAATACAGCTATTATATATATATACACACACACACACACACACACACACACAAATCTCGTATATGAATTAGGAGGTCTAACAAATGAATAAAGAAAGAAGAAATCATAAAATAATTGGTGGGAGGATAGCTTGTCTGACAGATGAAAAAAAAAAAAAAAAGAATATCACCAACAATGTCTTGGGTTATTGCTTTCTATCTTCCACAGAAATTAACTTAGATGAATTAAAGAGCAAACTGGTAAAAGCATTTGAACTATTACAAGAAACTAAGAGAGCATTTATTAGCAACTTAAAAAAACAGAAGTGCTTTTTAAACAAGGTCAGGGAGAAAGCTATTAAATTTGACTAAATCAAAACTAAGTTTTCATACAATAAAAGATGAATCAATTTCAGGGTGACAAAGTGAATGAAGTAGCCACACAAAAGTTTCTAGAATGATAAGGAGCTCCTAAAACCTGATAGGATGAAAAGACAACTACATGCGCCTGCCAAAAAGAAAGCTTGTTTCCAGAAGAAATCTAAAGAGGCATTGCATTGAACGTGTGAAAAAAATGTCTACCTTGCATGGCCAACAACGCAGCGCCACTTCCGATGCTCTTCCTACGTACTGCGCAGACATGAACATACGCAAGCTTTCATCTCTGGGTTTCCAATACACTCTCAACTTCCTAAAGCCCCATGCGCCTGGACCTCCTTACTCTCTGTTCTTCTACGTCAACCCTATCAATTGACTTGTGTAGCTTTTTGCCCAGTTCAGTGCTTGAAATATAGGAAGAGCAAAGCTAAAATTCTTGCTCTGGCCTCAGTATCCAGCAGGTACTATGGTACCTGAGCTTTTCTATGGTGGGTCTTCCTGAACATGTTTTCATTTCCCTACCCACCAGCCAGTTCCCACCTGTAACCTGTTGGGAGGTGGTGGGTCTGTGAGAGCTTCCTCTTTCTGCCTTTGTTGATAGTCTTCCTCTGGTCTGTAACTGTGCAGCATCCATGAAAGAGCAGTTCAGAGCATCTTGTAGATAAGGCCCGTAGCAAGCACCAGCAAGGATGAAGAAATGGTAACATTTCCACATACTTCACATAGTAGCACAAATTTCTACAATTATTTCAGAAAATTCATATGTTGCTGATGACTCTGTAATCCTTCTTTTATTCATAGGATTAACCACAAAAATATATTCTTTTTTCCATAATTTTATTGAGAAACAAATAAAAAAATATATTCTTGAAGATGGAAACAAGAAGTTAATATTTTAAAATAGAATCCTCTGCGTCTTAAATGCTGGTGATTTTTCTATCTCAATCCTCAATTTTTTTATAGAGTGACAAGTCAGTTTTCTATCACTGGTGAAAAGAAATGTTGCAGCTTTCTCATGAGAAATTTTTATCTATTGTAATTATGTCTACTAGAAACATCAAGTGTCCTGTGTAATTCTCTTAGATGGATTAATTCCTAGAACATATAAGTTAGTCAGTTTATTAAACCAAATGTTACAAAGATGTTATATATACAAGGACGTATTTACTGAAGATAAGATTTCGGGTCAGGGATATAGCTCAGCAGCATAAACACCTGCCTGGCAAACACAAAGTCCCAAGTTCAATGCCAGGTACTGAAAAACAAAAAGTCCTCAGATAGAACTACCTATACCTATTCTATCACCTCTACCCAGGGGCAGTCTATCATCCTGTCACAGCCTAAACCCACCAATTCTAGGGACTCTGTCTGAAGTTAAGACGTGTATGTCTGCACACAATAGACAGACGCAATCAGGGGGTGGAAACCACGCAAAAATTTAAACAAAGGGACAGGAACACAGATTGTTAAATAAGAATAGGATAAGTGAGGAGCTGGAGCTGGGGAGATGGCTTGGCTGTCTAAGCGCATGCCTCACAAGCTCAAGGACCCGGGTTTGATCCCAGCACCACATGCTGTACCAGTCCCAGAGCCTCAGGCGTGCTGTGCTGGCCAACAAAACCCAGCATGGTGGTGCACACCTGTAATCCCAGCCCTGGGGAGGCTGACACAGGGGGATCACTGTGAGTCTGAGATGTGCAGTGAGACCCTGTACCACATAAATAAGTAAATAATTTTACCAAAAAGCCTAGGATAAGGACTAACTATAAAGATGGCTGAAGAACTCAGAATGTCATCACACAGAGAGAATCTCTATGGAGGAATGAATGGGTCTGGAAGCATGAAGTGCTGACAAGTTGGATAAAAGGTGATTGCAGCCCACTGAACACAGAGAGACTGGAGTCTCCGCAAGTCGCGGGCACCAGGATGGGTGCTCTGCCTTTGTAGTGTGAGAGCCAAGGGGGTGAGGTGTTGGGGGTAGGGCTCCCCTTGTACAGCACCCCAGGTCCACGGCTACCACTAGGCAGGGCTGCCGAAAACAGTGAAAGCTGTACCCTCCAGACTAGTTGCATGGAGAGAAGGCATTCATATTCTCTCTAAGAGAATATAAATACAAGTCGCTTCTTCCAGAAGTTCCGCTATGGGTGGGATGCAGTTTGTTATCCAAGTGTTCATGTGTCAGACACACAGTCGCCAGTGCAGTGTTGTTAAGTGACAGAACCACAGAGATGGGCTTGGTGGGCCTCATGGAAGGACAGGCGTTGATGCTGGTCTTGCGGGATGAATCAGCTCCCATGAGAGCACACGGCTCTAAGGCACGGCCACCATGGACTTGGGCTCCTCTGCAGACTCTCAGCTCTGTCTCTGGGTCTCCACCGTGTGGTCACGCAGCCAGGGTTCCTTAGCAACAACACCAGTGCATTGGTGTGTGAGTCCATCGACCACCTGAACCGTGAGTCAAATAAACCTTTTCATTTTATGAAGTACTCGATTTGGATATTTTGTCATAGCAATGGAAAACAGACTTAGAAAACTCTTCTACAGACAAAGCACAACATCACACAAGCTTATGAAAATAAAGGGGTCATATTTCTTTCCATAGCACTGACTGCGACAGATAAACTTATATTTAAGAGGCAGTAAGAGAGCGTACCAAAAATAAATTATGAGCCAGGTGTGGTGGCCACACCTGTAATCCCAGCACTTGGGAGGCTGAGGCAAGTTTGAGACCAACCTGGACTATAGAGTGAGCTTAAGGCCAGCCTGAGCCACATAGCGAGACCCTGTCTCAAAAAGATGATAAATTAATAAATAATAAATTATGAAGCAGTCTGAAAGTGGGGCAAACATGGAAGTAATAAAACGCTTACTTGAAAACCGGCAGGTTCTAAGCACTCTCTAGAAATCTGGAGATAATAAGCTATGCTTATCTGGTTTATATGATATTGCTTTATTGCACATTTAATATTTACTTTCTCCTATTTCTTCTCATTAAATAGGGTAAAATGAGTAAGAGAGAGATAAATGCGTGCCAACAAACTTGGGCCTTGCTGCACAAAAACATCCTCAAGAAATGGAGAATGAAGAGAGAGACCTTAATGGTATGATCCAATATCTGTATCTATCATTTAGTGTTTAAGACAGGAAAACATACGCTGTTGAAAAGTGGCTGTGCTTTTTTAAATATCTCCTTCAAATCAAAAATATAAAGAGGAAAATCTTTGCGTAGTAGAAAGAGTGGTTTCTCAGGCCAAAGATCTGTTTCAAGATGTTCCAGTTGGCATAGACCCATAACTTGAGATCTAAAAGCACAAAGGTCATTGAAAATCAAAAATTCAGGAAGTGTTGAAAAAGCAAATGTTCACACTGCTCACTAGTGTCCCCACAAAAGAGTTAAGACAGTGACATTCTGACGATATGGCAAAAAAAAAAAAAAAAATAGACACACAGAAATAGGTAACTGAATTTTCTCTTTTCAATTTCTCTTTCTGAAAGTAATGTATTTTCTTCTAAAGAAAAATAAAACAGAGCTGGGGAGATAGCTTGGCAATCTAAGCATCTGTCTGGCAAGTGCAAAGACCTGGGTTCAATCCCCGGTACCACATGCCATGCAGGCCCTGGAACCCCAGGCTCACCACACCAGCCCTAAAATCAGTTGTGGCGGCATACGTCTATAAACCTAGTGCTGCAGGGGCTGAGCCAGAAGTATAACTATGAGTTCAAACTGCATAGCAAAACTCTGTATGAAATTAATTAATTAATTTGTATTTCATTTTATTTTTTTCTGTATTTCTTTATTTTTTAATTTTTTATTCATTTTAATGAGAAGAAATAGCAATGAAACACTTTCAAAGCAGATTAGTAGGACAGTTACAAAAAGTAATACATTGCATATTGTCTTCATAGTAGTTATTTAGAGGATAAGATGCAGACATGGTATCATGTCTCAACAATAATAGTACAAACCTTTCTTCTCATTGAAATAAGAGAAAGTAGCTGTATATCTATCCTATTTTGTATATGTATTTTTTACTACAAAATGGTCCTTTATATTCCCCTCTTTTGTTTTGTTTTGTCAGAGATGGGTGATCCATTGCTGTTAGATAAGCTGTATTTGGATAAGTGTTTAAAGGACATTTTCCCAAATACAGCTTATCTAACAGCAATGGATCACCCATCTCTGCAAAAAAAATAAAATAAAATAAAGGACATCTTCATACTCAAATATTATATGTACTTGAATTCAGCAATATAACCCAATATACCCCAGTAGTCCATAATAGTAGTGAGTTACCAGCACCACTGGCAATTGTCAGAAGTTGTTGACATGAGCCTTTAGAGCTCAGCATATTAACATAGCTTTACTTTTTATACCTTATGGTTATTCTTTTCTGATGGATGGTTAAAAACAAGTTAAAGCAAGACCTATATGAATAAAAATGTAACTTTTCTATCTAACAAGGTCAGTCAAATCCCCTCAGGATTTACCCTGAAACTATGTACAGCACCTTGTAGATCTTTTGTCAGTGTCAGCCATCTGGATGAGTCACAGCCATTGCTTGACCAATTTGCTCTCTGTGAAAGCCTGAGAGAATTTTTCTCTCTAGATGACTCTCCTTAGGCACACTATACATCATTGGTCACTTTCCTCTGTTGCCCCATAATCTCCTTCATCAGAAAATTTGGGGCACTACTGAGTTACAGGATGTCACAGCACAGGTTCTCTTATAAGTCCTCACTGACCTTGGAGGGGCAGGACCAAAATATCAGCTATCCTTGTAGCCCCTCTCTTTCTCTAATTTTTGGTCTACAAACTTTAGTCATTAAGCATCCAGAAGAGAGGATCAATATTATTATTACCCTGTAACAGAAGCAGTTAAGTTTAACCTCACTAGCTGTCTAAATATCAAATGCCTTAGACATAACATAAAACTGGTATTTTCCAACAACCACTGATATTCTAAACTTTAAATCCCTATAGAATGTGAGAAACCTACTCATTTTTACATGGAAATTTAGAAATCCAACCATACACAACATCGTAGCAGAGCAATCCTATCACATTTTTTTCTTGTCTCTTGGGTTTTTTTTATTACCCTTTTATTTTGCAAACATTTACTTTACTTTTTTTTTTTTTTTTTTTTGCAGAACCAGGGATTGAACTCAGACCCTTGTGCTTGCCAGGGAAGCGCTTATTCCACTGAGCCATCTCCCCAGCCCTCAAACATTTACTTTAAAGAGAGTATAGAAATAATTTCTATGACATTAGAAGCAGTATGCATGTTGAAGACCAAAATGATAGGTATATCAAGCATGGTTTTAGTATTACACATCGCTATACTCAGTGTAGTTGCTTAGTTCACAGATATCAGCGTATAGAGTTAGTCAGGGTGAGAATTCTACCCATTAACTGCTATTTTCAAAAACCTGTTGGAGATTCTTAGGACCATAGCCTTAACTATGTTGTTTATATAACAGTATGGCTTTTCCCCAGCCGTATTTCCTAACTTTTCTACTTCTCCCTCATTGTTGTTTAATTCTTAAGCTCTCGTTTTCCACTTAAGTGTATTATACCTTTCCATTTTTCTTTCTTCTTTTGAGTTCTTACCATAGGGAGACAATACAATATTTACATTTGGGGGTCTGCTTTATTTCACTTATGAGTATATCTTCAAGTTGCACCCACTTATGTATGAATGCCATTGTATAAACATATCACAGCTTTTTTATCCATTACTCATGACAGGCATTTTGGTTGTTTCCAAGATTTGGCTATCACAATTTATGGTGCTAAAAACATAGGCACACATATACCACTACGATATGATGTTTTCAGTACTTTTGGGAAAATTCTCAGAAGGGGGATAGCTGGATTGAGGGATTTCCAGTCCTAGTTTTTTAAGGAGCCTCCACACTGATTTCCATAATGGTTGCACCCGTCTACATTCCCACCAGCACTGAAGAAGAGTTCCTTTTTCCCCACAACCACTTCAACATTTGTTGTTGGTTGATTTCTTTATGATAGCTGTTCTTTCTGGGGTGAGATGGCATCTCAGTGTTGTTTTAATTTGTATTTCACAGATGGCTAGTGATGTGGAGCATTCTTTCATGTATTTATTTGCTTCTTGTATTTCTTTCTCTGAGAAGTGTGTGTTCATCTCAGATGCCCATTTTTGGATTGGGCTTTTAAATTTTAGGGCCCTAATGTTTTATAGTTCTTTATAAATTCTAAATAGAAGACCTTTGTCTGAGTGCTTATTAGATAAGATTTTTTCCAAATTTCTAGATTGTCCTTTGACTGTGTTAGTAACTGATTTTGATGTGCAGAAACTTCTCAATAAGGGGCTGGAGAGATGGCTCAGTGGTCTAAAGCACCTACTTAGAACAAGCTTAGCAAAGCATCGGGGACTGCGGTTCAATCCCCAGCACCACATGCCAGCCAGCCCCGCCCCCTGGTGGACTGAGCTGGCCACACACACCACACTCTCTCTCTCTCTCTCTCTCTCTCTCTCTCTCTCTCTCTCTCTCTCTCTAATAAATAAAAAAAAATATATAAAAAAAGAAACTTCTCAATAAGAAGAGGTCCCAGTTGTTAATTCTTTCAAGTATTTCCCATGCAGCTTGATTTTTGTTCATGAACTGTTTGCCTACCCTTATGTCTTCAAGATTTCCACCTACTTTCTCTTCCAGGAGATTTAGTGTTTCTCTTTTAATGTTTAGATCTTTAATCCATTTTGACTTTAATTTAGGTCAACTTTTAGTTTTTGGCATGTAGAGAGCCAGTTTTTTCAGCACCATTTGTCAAAGAGGCCGTCTTTCTTCCAGTAAGCATGTTCAACCCCCTTGTCAAAGATAAGATGGCTGAGTCTGTTTGTAGTTAAATCTGCATCCTCTCATCATTACACTGATCCTCCAGTCTATTTTTTTATGAATACCATGCTGATTTTATCAAGTAGCTTTATAGTATAATTTCAACTCAGAGATTGTAATGCTTCCTGCCTTGCCTTTGTTGCCCAGGATTGCTATTCTAGGTTTTCTATGGTCCAAATAAATTTTAGGAATGATTTCTTTAGGTCTGTGGGATATGTTGGTGGTATTTTCATATGGACTGAATTAATCTGTATAACAATTTTGGGAGTATGGCCATCTTCACAATGTTGGTTCTTCCTATCCAGGAGCAAGGAATATCGTTCCATTTTCTGAAATCCTCTACAATCTCTTTTTTCAGAGTATGGTAATTTTCACTGAATAGATCTTTGACATCTTTAGTTAGACAAATTCCTATTTCATTTCCATGGAGCTATTATAAAGGGTATTACTTCTCTAATTTCTCTCTCAGTGTGTTTGTTATCTGTGTAGAGGAATGCTATTGACTTATGGTATTAACTTTGTATCCTGCTATGGTACTAGAATTTGTGTATTCATTCTAGTAGCTTCTTGGTGGAGTTTTTTCTGTCTTCCAAGTAGAGTACTATATCGTCTGCAATGATGATAGTCCAACTTCTTTACCTGTTCTTACTCTTTTTATTTCTTTCTCTTGTCTAATTACTCTAGCTAATGTTTCCATAACTATATTGAATAAGAGTGGTGATAGAGGATATACTTGTCTTGTACCTGGTCTGAGAGTAAAAGATTTCAGTGTTCGCCAATTTAGAATTATGTTAGCACTTGGATTGTCATAGATGGCTTTTATAAGATGGAGGTAAAGGTCATCTATTCCTATTTTCTGTAGGACTTTGGACATGGATGAGTGTTTGACTTTGTCAAAACCCTTTTCCACATCAATTGAGATGAGCATGTGGTTTTTGGATTTGACTCTTGTTACAGTGTATTACATTTATAGAACTGTGTATGTTGAACCATTCTTATATCCCTGGGATGAATCCTGTCTGTTCATGGTGAATAATCTTCGGGATGATTTGCTGTATTCTATTTGCTAGGATTTTATTGAGGTTTTTTCATCTACATTCATGAGGGAGATTATCCTGTAATGCTCTTTTTCAGGGCATCTGGCTCAGGTTTTGGTGTCAGTATAATACTTGCCTTTAGTAATGATTTTGGGTGAATTATTTCCTTTTTAAGTTCATTGAAGAGTTTGCGTAGTATAGGGATTATATCTTATGTAAATTTCTTGTAGAATTCAGCTGTGAATCCATCAGGACCTAGACTTTATTGTCAGTAGGTTTTTTTATTACATTTTGAATTTCATTGGCTATTATTGGGTTATTGAGAGTTCTTATATCTTCTTGATTAATTTATAGTAACTTGTACCTCTCTAGGAATCTGTCCATTTCTTCTGTGTCTTCAATTCTGTGAGAGTAAAGATTCTCAAAATAGCTATCGATGAAGTTCTGAATTCCCACTGGGTCTGCGGTAATTTCACCCTTTTCATTCCTTATTGCTTGTATTTGAGTTTTTTCTTTCCTCTTTTTGTTGAGGTTAGCAAGAGGCTTATCAACTTTATTTAATCTTTCAAAGAACTAGCTTTTTGATTCATTAATTCTTTGTATTGTTTTCTTTGTCTTGCTTGCATTAATTTCTGCTCTAATCTTTATGATTTCATCCCATCTTTGGGCTTTGGGTTTGGTTTTCTCTTCTTTATCTAGACTTTTGAGTTGCAGCATTAGGGTGTTTATTTGTTCTCATTCTGTTTTCCTAATGTGTGAGTTCACAGCTATAAATTTCTCTCTAAGAACTACTTTCATTGTATCCCATAAATTCCGATAAGTTGTGCTTGAATTTTTATTGAGTTGCAGATATTGTTTAATTTCTTGTTTAATTTCATCTGTAAGCCATTTGTTGCTGAGGAGGGTGTTGTTTAATTTCCATGTATTTATGTTATTTAATTTCTTTATTTCCATTAAGTTTTTGTGGTTTCTTTTTCATTTCCAGTTTCATTGCACTGTGGTCAGATAATATGCATGGAATAATTTCTGCTTTCTTGCATACACTTAAGCAAGACCTATGTATTAGTATGTGGTGTATTTTAGAAAATGTCCCTTGTGCAGCTGAAAAAAAATGTTTATTCGGATGTGTTTCGGTGGAATACTCTGCACATGTCTACTAAGTCCATTTTTTTCCAAGTTCTGCTACTTTTTTCTAATTTTTTGTCTGGCTGATCTATCTTTTTGGGATAAGGGGGTGTAAAGGTCTCCTGTTAAGATTGTGGTATTGGATATTAGATTTTTCATGTCCATTAAGATTTGGCTCATATCGTTGGATGCTCCCATGTTTGGCGCGTACATATCTACGACTGTTACCTCTTCTTCTTGAATTTTTGCCTTAACCAGTATATAGTGGCCTTATTTATTTCATTTGATCATTCTTGGTTTGAAATTCAGACTGTATGCAAATAGGATTGCTACCCTTGCTTTTTTCTGAGGTTTTGGGGCATATAGTATTGTTTTCCATCCCTTGACTTTCAGCCTATGAATTTCATTATGAGTTAAGTTTGTTTCTCATATACAGCATATTGTTGGATTTTGCTTCCTAATCCACTGTGCTGGTCTATTTCTCTTAATTGGTGAATCGAGCCCCTTTACCTTGATGGTTATAATTGAGATGTATTGACTTATGATTGACGTGTTATTTACCTGCTGTGTAGGATTGGCCTTGTCATCATGAAATTCCTTAGTTGTTCTTTGTCATAGAAGTATTTCATTTCTCCATCAAATTTGAAAAAGAGTTCTGCAGGATATAGCAGTCTGGGCTGGAATTTGTTTTGTTTTGTTTTGTTTTGTTTTGTTTTGTTTTTGAAGGACTTGAAGTATTTTGCTCCATGCTCTTCTTGACCTGATGATTTGTGAAGAGAAATCTGCCATTATTCTGATGGGTTTTCCTTTAAATTTGACCTGTTTCTTTTCTCTGGTGGCTTTTATTGTATTGTTCTTGTGCTGCATTGCTGGGATTTTGATTGTTTTATGTCTGGGTGTGGTTTTAATTGGGTTGATGTTATTTGGAGTTCTATACACTTTGGTTGCATGAATATCAGATTATTTCTCGATATTTGGGAAGTTTTCTGCTATTACTTCTGCCCATATTCTTTTTATATCACTTGTATTGACTCCTTCTTTCTCATTGATGCCTATTAGTCTTACATTGCTCATCTCTGCATCATCTTGCAGATGTTGGATTATTTTTTCCTGCATCCTAGTTGTTTTTAAGAGATCTTTTGTTACCTTTTCACTAGCTGCAATGGTGTCTTCAAGGTCTGAATCTCTATCTCTCTTTCATTCAAACAGTTTTGCCAGCTTGTGATTGAGGTTTCAGTTTCCTGTATATCTCTTTGAATTTGCTTCATGCATTCTATTTCTTTCTTATATTGCTCATTCAAGGATTCCATGATTTTTTTTCATTCTCCTCTATTTTTTCATCAGTGTCTTCTTCAGAAGCACTTAGTAATTCTTTCATTAAATTTATCATATCTTTTTTTACTTCAGAGATTATTTCTGATCTTATTTCCTCTATACCTTTCTGCAGTTGTTTCTTTACTTCAGACACTGTTAATTCAGAGATTTCAGCTGTATGATATCCAATTTTTTCTATGCTAGTGTCTTCTGCATTTGTTCTGGGTGGGTTCAGGGCCTGAAAATGCATTTTGCTCCTTCTCTGTGTCATTTTGTATAGCACTGTCCTCTGACCTTTGGTGTAGAGCTTTGGTGCAGTTATTACCTTAGCACCTACTGAAATTCTTACCCAAAAGAGATTATGTGGTTAAAGCAGTTACTTTTTTTTTTTTTTTTTTTTTTTTGGGAACTGGGAATTGAACTCAGGCCTTTACGCTTGCCAGGGAAGTGCTTATTCCACTGAGCTATCTCCCCAGCCCCGACAGTTACATTTTTATATTTACAGAACCACAATTAGTAAAACTAATAATGGGTAGTGATATTTAGCAGTTGACAAACTTTTGTAACTGATGAGTCTGTATTTTAGACCATAAGAGCAAACATTATGTCTGTGTAGCTAAGCAGATATTAAATTTGGAATTTGTATTTAAATTAGTTCCCCTAAATTCTGTTTGATCACCTCCCCTTGACATACCTGGGGTCTTCCAGGCAGACTAGTTCACCCCAGCTACCTGTTGCCTCCTCTGTCGATCAAGAGAGAAAGAGAGATGATGCTTACGTAGGTCTGGGTCTAGCAAAATGTCTCAGCTTACCTGGTCTGGATCTACCAAGTTTGAACTCGTCTAGATGTGCCTGGCTTGGATCTAGCTGCAGTGCTCAGCTTCTTCCTGGTTCAGCCCATGGAAGTTAATCCACTGCACCTCTCTGGCAAGATGTTCAGCTCCTGGATTAGCTGGGTGGATCTGGCTCCTAGCCTTTCTGCAAGGAGTTGCGCCGCGGGGTTCCATACCAGGCCTGTGTGATGGAGAAGGTTCCCATAAACATGCAGATGGTCCCACACACATGCCGGGCCTGGGCTCTGGCTGGAAACAGCTAAATTAATTAATTAATCCATCATTCATTAAACAACAGGAGCGTTGAAAGCATATTTAGTGCCAACAAGAAAGTCAGCATTAGTTTATAATCCTACCTTATAATAAAGCCCTGGTTTAACTCACATATTTTCAAAGTCAGGTAGATATAGCCAGGTAGCATTTTTAACTAAATAGGAATTCTACTACATATACATTGTGAATTTTTCTAAGATTAAACATTTTGGGGAAAAGGTGATTTGGTATTGTTATTCAATAATGACAAATATTCAATAAAGTGATTTTCTTGTTTTGCAAATTTCCAAGATTTAAGACTCACTAATCAGGACAGCAATGCTCAACTCAATGATATTTTGTTGAGTTTCTGGTTCCATAATCTTGGCTAATAATCTGTGTGTCACCATTAAATGAGCAATACCTAGAACTGTCTCTTCAACACAGATTTTCAAGAGAATCAAACACTTTGTGCATGTATCAATATTGTGGCGCCGGCTGCGATGAATTTAAACCAGTCTGTCCTGTTGCATTTCTTATTTTCTCATAGTTAAACAGTACATGCTTCAGGGCTGGCCAGATAGCTCAGCGGATTAAAGCATCTGCTTAGGCAGACTCAGTGATCAGGGCTCGATCCCTGGTGTGCCATGCCAACCCTACCCTGGGCATGCTGGGATGACAGTTGAGAAGGGGCGTGGTGGTGCACGCCTGTAATCCCAGCATTAAGGAGGATGAAGAGAGGAGGATCACTACGAGTCTGATCTACAGAGTGAGAGCCTGTAGACCCTGTACTAAATACATAACAAGTGCATGCTTTATCTATGATGCAAAACAGAATAATTCAATTTCCTATTAATATTCTTAAAATTACTCAGATTGCTAAAATTATACTATGTATAATTGTTCATGTTGTGAGATATGCAAATTTTAAAACATAACATTGCCAAAACTATCAGAAAAGGATTGTACATCGAAGCTCATGACACTGCACCAACCAACTCACAAGTCTTTCTACCGGAGTCTGTGTGTCTGCTCTGGGCTTCTCACTTGCCAGCACTGGCTGGAAATTTTAATTTTCTGTTTCCATCTCCTCGGTACAGGAATGGATGAGTTCGTTGCTCCTCCTGCTGCTTTTGTACATACTGATACGTCTCAATGGTCATCAGTTGAAAGATTTTTCTTCATTGTCTGCCATGAATCTGGGACGGGTAGATTCATTCAGTCATAAATTTTCGATTGTGTATACACCCATCACCAGAGAAACCCAACAGATCATGAATACAGTAGCCAATGCCTCCTTCATGGCAGGTGAGTTTGCTAGCAACCCAGGGGATGTAAGTATTCGCTTCATTTGACTGCATATGCATGCATTTATTTCCATTTCCATTGATAAAATGATCTCAAACATCCAAAATTGTGAAGAGGAAAATCTAAATAGACAGTAGTTGCCCTTTGTTGAAAGTAAAAGGACAATACGCAACCTTGAGTGACTCCAACCTGAATACTACCCACCAATCAAGGGACTGCTATTTGGAGTGCAAATTCTCTGGACAGGAAAACCTGCTGATCTCACATGGGGTTTCACAAAGCACAGAGTACCAATATTATGTTCTCTGCAGAGGAGGAATGTTTAGGACTTGCTGACCCACAGCTGTGAACTGCCCCAAACATGGATGCTCGTGACACCACACCAACCAACTCACGAGTCTTTCTACCCGAGTCTGTGTGTCTGTTCTGGGCTTCTCACTTGCCAGCACTGAATCCACTTCAGATTCAAGAACATTTCCTTGCCTCAGCGGTCCTGAGATCCACCTAAGGGCCACCTACCAGCCTGATCTGAGTCGTGTTGGCTTTCATTTTCCATTTCATTGATATCGTCCTGAGGACCCCGCAGTCATGAACTTGTGCCTCTCCCCACGTTCATGCAGACTCCAGGAGTGTCCAGTACGTGCTGCCACATGCTAGACATCTACAAACCCTTCGTTCTGTGGGGATAGCATGCTAGGGCTCTGCAAGTGTAGTAACAGCATGCTATCTTGTAATAGTAGTTTGTATTATTGCATTGATATTCCACTAATATTCTATAATCGTATGTTTTATAAATTCATTTTATAAATTTGGAAGTTGAGTAAAAATGGGTAACTCATTCGTCACCACAAATCTAAAGAGTAGACTCAATAATAAAATCTAATTCTATCAAAATATGTGTTGCTGCTGCATCTAATTTTATCTTCAGCATTTCCATCCCAACTCAGGGCTTTTCTTGTATTCCTTTTTCTTTTCTTTTCTTTTCTTTTTTTTTTTTTTTTTTTGACGGAACCAGGGATTGAACTCAGGCCCTTGCGTTTGCCAGGGAAGCGCTTATTCCACTGAGCCATCTCCCCAGCCCTTGTATTCCTTTTTTTCAGTTTTTCAGTCCTTTTTTTTTTAATTTTTATTTATTTGTTTATTTGGTACAGGGTCTCACTACATAGCTTGGACTCCTAGTGATCCTTCTATCTCAGCCTCCTCAGCATGGATTACAGGAGTGTGCCACTATGTCCATTTTCAGGGCCACCTCAGATTCTGGGGCAGGGCAGCACAGCATGGGGTACCAGGGATCAAATTCAGGTCCTTGTGCTTGCCAGGAAGGCGCTTAGACCACTGATCCATCTTCCCAGCCCCAATTTTTCAGACTTAATAAACATTTTCATGGAAAAAAGTTTTCTTAGTGAGAACAACACAAGCACTCTACATTTTAAAAATTTTTTCACTGCTTTTTATAAAAATTATCATACTATCAATGTTTAAAAAGAGAAATAATGTTATATAGTTATTTCCAATCTGTATAAGACAATGATTTATAACTATTTTAGATTTATTAGAATTTGGACTTACTAGAAATCTAATTCTGTGGTGAATTCAATTGATATGGTATGGCATTTTGTGTATAGAAATTGACTCAATAATTACAGCGTATAAAGAAGAAATAATTAATTTTCAAGTACTCCTCTTGATTGTGTCTAGATAAAGCTTTAGAAATATCTCCTCCCGCCTCTCAGATTATTGATTTACTCTGAGTCAGTAAATCTTTCTGGTTTTCAGAAGAAAGTGCCGTAAGAGCACTTGAGCATCTCCTCTCACGGTTGAACGTCGCTGCTTGCAGCTGTCCTTCCCAGTGACTTACGCTAACTCTCCTTTCTCACCATGATAGACAAAGAAGTGGTGGGACTGCCAGAGAATGAAGATATTGAAGATTTCACAAGAAATTATCCTGGAGAAATAGCAGCAGTGATTTTTACTGATACATATTCATATCATCTCAAGTTCTTCTCAGAAGGAAGAATCCCAGTACAGAAAGAAAACAGTGACCACACAGGTAACTTTCCGCTACACTCTATTTCAGTCCTATCTCGGGCATTTGTGGGAACCAGTGTTAATGTCAAATTAAATGATCACTACCTGCTATGGTGACATCCGTGTGTCATTCCACAAATTTAGAAAGGATATCATTTTTGAGCATACTAACATATTCAACATATGATATCTACAAGTATTACAACCTTCACACATTCACACACACACACACACACATATACAATATATTATTTATAAAAATATATAGTTGTCCTAGATACTTGCTAAAGTTAAATTAAGTTGTTGCTCATGCATAAGATAAAACAAATTGCCCTTTAAATATCCAAGGAAACCACATGAGAGGAAAGGAATTCTCAAAATTCCAAAATGAAGAGGGCACCAAAGCTATTATTGACGCTATATGATTTTTGCCAGTCTCAGCAGCCAGAAGGCATTAGTTTTGGTAGCTGTATGGGAACGGAGAACTTAGGTTTGTGTGAAATGGAGATTCTTGCAATGATTTGGAACCTCTAGAGGCTGTATCAACCACCCCTTAAGAACATACAAGAAAAATATCAGCAGTAGGCAAGTGAAGAATTCAAAAATTTTGTCTTCCCTTGCGCTATGCAAGAAGCAAGGAGCTCTTCTCTGAGAAGCCGTGGTACTCAGTGGCCCTTCCCTAGGGTTGGGCTCTCTCTTATTTTGCCTGGTTTAGGAAATTTCAAGCAGCAACAGAAAGCCACCTCTGGTTGTGAGGCTCCAGGGTGCCTGGCAGCGGAGGCTATAAATCTTCTCTAGAAAAATGCAGGCTCAACTCTGACTCAAAGTTAAAATATCTCTGATATTTTAGAAATATAAAATAAAAGATCTGTGATATTTTATAAGTTTACTGTCCAATATAAACGTGAGACACTCTAAAAGAGAGTGAGCAGAATCAAACGGACTGAATCTAACTTTCCCTATGGAATTATAAAACTGAGAACATAAAATGTTCAACAATAAAAAGGGCCAGCCAAATAGCTCAGTGGATTAAAGCACCTGTCAGCAGGTTCAGGGGCCAGGGGCTCAATCCTCAGGCCTGCCAGGCTGGCCCTGTTCCTGGGGCACACTGAGTGGTGCACGCTTGTAATCCCAGCTCTTGGGAGGCTGTAAACAGGTGGATCACTGTCAGTCCGATCTAGTAGTGAGACCCTGAACACCCTGTAGACCCTTCTCTAAAATAGAAAATGAAAGACCAAATGGTAAAAATAAAAATAAAATGTTAAATAAGAGATGAAGTAAACAAACAAACAAACAAACAAACAAAAAACAAACAGGAAATGGGAATGATACTACAAAATGCAAGAAGCAGCAGCAATAATTACATGGGAATGTAATTAAAAGATAACATCAACTAATTAGCTAAGTAATAAGTAAATAATAACAAAACTTCTTCAAGAAAAAAATGTTTAGGAAATAGAAAACAACTTCTATGAAAAAAAATATAAAATTTAACTTTAAAAGACCAGCATGACTGGAAGGATGGAGCACTTCTAAGGACTTTCATTGTGCAGAGTTTTTACAGATTTTTCATTGCTGTATACCAAACTATCACACACTTCGTGACTTAGAACAATACATACTTGTCAGCACTCAGTTCTGCAGGAGAGAAGTCCAAACAAACTCAGATGCTTCTTGGCTTACTGGATCCCAAGGCCGAAAACAAACTCATCTTCAAGTTCCTGGAGAGAACCTGCTTCCCAGTTCATTCATGTTGTTAATAGGACCAACCGCCTAAGATCCCTTTTGCCAGCTTTCAGGCAAGTTACTCTCAGCACTCACTAAAAAATCACTTCCCGGTCCTTGACCCTGAGCTGATCCATCCCTAAAGCCAATAACAGCACAGGGAACTCTCTTCTTGCACCCAAATCCCCTGACTCACCCATCTGCTGCTAGCTGAAGAACTCTTTTGCTTTTAAAAGAACGCACATGGACCAGCGAGATAGCTCAGTGGACTAAGCACCTGCTGAGGCAAGCCCAAGGACTGAAGTTCAGTCCCCAGCACCACACGCCACTCCAGCCCTGCCCACCATTTGAATATTATAGGTGTGTAAACTCAGCAAAATATTCTGAAAGAGTCCAATAGCCCATAATAGCATTGGGTCTTCTGTTTAACTGGCAATGTCAGAAATTGTTGACCTGAGTCCCCCACAGCTCAACATAACAGCATGGCTTTACTACCTATATTTCGTCTTCATACTTTTCTACTGGATGGTTAAGACCAAGGTAAAGCAGGACCTATGCAACAAGAGTTGTAGCTTTTGGGTCTGATAAGGTCAGTGAAATGCCCTCAGGATTTATCCTGAGATCCTGTACCTCAGATTGTAGAACCTTTGTCAGTGTCAGCCATGTGGATGAGTCACAGCCATTGCTTGGCCAGTGTGTTCTCTGTGAAAGCCTGAGAGAGTGTCTTCTCCCCATGTGACTCTCCTTAGGCACACTCTACGTCATCGATCACTTTCCTCTTTGGCCCCATAATCTTCTTGCCTAAATCGTTTGATAATAACAATAAGCTTGTCTTCTGGATGGTTAACAACCTAAGTTTGCAGACCAAAATTAGAGAAAAAGGAGGGCTACAAGGAAAGCCAACATTTTGGCCCTAGATTCCCAGGTCAATTAAGACTCAGGACATAGGAGAACTTGTTCTGTAACGTCATGTACCTCGGTAGTGTCCCACATTTTCTGATCAAGAGACTTGGAGTTTAACTCTTACGGTGCCTTACTGTAGGCTCTGCTGCGATGTCCCCGACATGTATTCATAATGGAATGTATGCTTTGTAAGGACTTCCACAGCAAAAGAGTTTTGGTGTTTTGCTTGTCTCAGTGGGGTTGATAGTCGTGAAAAGAAAAATACCACCGATTAAATTTTTAATGCAACAGTATTTAAATTCACTGATTCACAATCCTATAGCAAGATTCTGTGCTCATAAGAAGAAAAATCAACCCAGAAGCAGAATAGCTGGGTCAATGGGACCAATACATAGACTTTAAAAGTCAAATTTCATGTATTTTCTTACCTGGGCCTGGACCTGCAAAATGAATATCTTCCTATCTGGTGGGCATGAAATAAAGCAACATTGGGGCCAGGGAGATGGCTCAGGGGAATAAGTGCTTCCCTGGCCAGCACAAGGACCTGAGTTCAATCCCCAGTTCCGCCCAAAAATAAAAAATAAATAAATAAAGCAGCATTAAATTTTATTATTTCCAGAAGAGAAATGTGCCAAACCAGAAATTGCAGAAACTTTTTTAGTCAGAAGTTCTAAAAATAAGTAACTTAAGATGGCTTAATATTCATTGGTATCTATTTGAAAAAATTATCAAAAGGCTTATGATTTCAGGGAATGCCAAAATTACCTAGAAGGAGAAGTTGAATGTGAGAACAATCCCCTGACCCTGCATTGCTTAATCCTGAGCCACACAGCACGAAGCGTCTTGCGCCCACAGACATGGGGTCGAATGAGGCAGCTCCAGCGCCGCTGCTGCCCGGTCCCCTTGTCCAGGGTGAAGAGTTCCCAGTGCTGTGGCTGATTCTGTGGCAGCGGTGGGACGTGGGAGCTGGGCGTTTCCATCTGCATAGCAAATGCAGCCCAGCCTCGGACAACTTTCACGTCACAATCTCCAATGCAGATTTTTTACTTAACTATGGAAAAATTGCTTATCTGTACAGATAAAAATAAAGCTATATATTTACAATCACTAAAAAAAAAAAAAAGAAGAAAAATCAAGTAATGTCATTTATTTAAACTCTAAGTCATAAAATAAATGACAAATGAAGCAAAGTTAAGAATAATCTATAATGAACCTATGGATGGGAAGGGTTTCGGGTTTTGGGTCTTGAGTTTTGGGTTTTTTGTTTGTTTGGTTGGTTTTTGAGACATGGATTCACTATGTAGTTCAGCCTGGCCTTGAATTTTCAGTGATCCTCCTGCCTCAGGCTTTAAGTACTAGGATGAAAGGCATGCATTACCACATGTGGCATAGAATTTAAGTTTTTAAAAATTTCTTATGCAATTTAAGTATGTACAATAAAAGTCAAAGTCATAATGTAACCACAATGTTCAATAAAGCTATTGGCTAATTCCATGCTCTTTGCTAAGGAAACTCATAGTATACTGGGAACTACAACTCTAATTGTAATGATTGATTTTTAAAATTTGACAGTAGGTATAGGTGTATCTGTTTTATTTTTATATCACTTATGTATATGAATTATCTCAAAATTTATTCTTGAAAATATTTAAAATCTTAATGTAATGTACATTTAATCATTGTACTTAATTTTAATTCATCTTGTTAAAGAATATCTCTTAGCTTAAATTCAGTGGATTGGTGGGTTTCTTTCTTTGGAATAAGTAAATCTTTATTTTCCAATGACATTTTTATCCTTTATTCATTCATTCATTTATTTGTTTGTTTGTTTGTTTGGCACAAGGTCTCACTATGCATCTTGGACTCGTAGTTATCCTCCTTGTCTCAGCCTCCCCAATGCTGGGATTACAGGCATGCACCACCACACGTGGTTTCAGTGGGCGACCCAGGGGCAGGGCCTGTGCAGTGTGTGGTACCAGGGATCAAACCCAGGTCCTTTCTCTAGCCAGGCAGGCGCTTAGACCATCAAGCTATCTGCCCTGACTGCCCAGTGACGTTTGATTGACATGATTTACACAAAAATTATCCACACTTCCACTTATCCATTATGCCTGTGTTGTACCTAATGTTAGAATAAGTTTTAGTTCAATTTCTCATATGCACTAGATCCCTCTAACTCCTGAAAAACATTAAAAAGATTGCTTTTGCAATATGAAATCACAGTAGCTTTGTAGTATAATTTCAAGTCAGGAATTGTAATGCCTCCTACCTTGTCTTTGTTGCCCAGGATTGCCTTTGCTATTCTAGGTTTTTTCTGGTTTCAAATAAATTCTAGGAATGATTTCTCTAGCTCTGTAATGTATGTTGGTGGTAGTTTGATAGGGATTGCATTAAATCAGTGCAGCAATTTTAGGAGTATGGCCACCTTCACAATGTTGGTTCTTCCTATCCAGGAGCATGGAATACCTTTCTGAAGATATATTTTCTTCAGAAAAGATACATATATCTCCTATATTTTCTGAAATCCTCTATGATCTCTTTTTTCAGAGTACTATAATTTTAATATGCTGAGCTGTAAAAGGCTCAAGTCAACAACTTCGGACAACTGCCAGTTCTGCTGATAACCCACTACAATTATAGACTATTGGATGATATTGAGTTATTTTGCTGAATTCAAGTACCTACAATATTTGAACTGGCATCAAATATGAAAAGGTCCTTTAAATACTTTTCCAAATACAGTTTCTCTAACAGCAATGGAACACCCATCTCTGACAAAACAAAACAAAAAAGGGGGATATAAATAGAGGACCATTTTGTAATGAAAAAATAAAAATATATGTATATACAAAATAGGATAGATATATAGCTACTTCCCCTTAGTTCAATGAGAAGAAAGGATTGTACTAATATTGTTTAGACAAGATATCATATCTGCATCTTGTCCCTTGAATAATCACTACAAAGACAACCATATGCAATGTATTAATTATTGTAGCTGTCTTACTAACCTGTTTTAAAACTGTTTCATTGATATTTTATTTTCTCATTAAAATGAATTTTAAAAATTTAGAAAACAATATGAAATCAGAAAACAACTCCATAAAATTATTTTCTTTTAAATGTATTTAGCACAGGGTGTAGAGGGTCTCACTCTACAGGTCGGACTTGTAGTGATCCTTCTGTTTTCAGCCTCCCAAACCATGGGATTACAGGTGTGCGCTGCCACGCCCAATCTCAATCTCAGCTCACTCTGGGGACGGGGCCAGCACTGCATGCTGGGGACTGAACCCTGGTCCCTGTGCTCTGCCTGAGCAGGCGCGTTAGTCGGCTGAGCTATCTGGTAGGTCCTCCATGAAATCCCTGATTGACAGAGAAGCACAAAAGATGGTGAGAGAAAGCTTAAAGCGAGGTTGATAATTCAAAGCCAAATAATCCCTTAAGGAGCGCTGTCTAACCTGTGCTGAGAATCACTACAATAACTTATGCTTTCATAGATTTTGAAGTCAAAATAAGAACATTCAGACTTCGGTGCCACTGTAAAATCCATTATAGTTTATTATCAGAAACAAAGTCAACCATGATGATAATTACAGTTTTTCTCTTTCCGCAAAGGTCATTGTTATGAAACATATGAAAATATTTACTGTCATGCATCACTATTCTGGAAGGGAGGGTTTGTGGCTCTTCAAGCTGCCATTAACGCTGCTATTATAGAGGTGAGTACAAAATGTTCAATTCAAACTCTTTCTGATGCACATTAATGATGTTGTAGGCACTAAAAGTTTCAGGAATAAAAATATAAATGAGGAGCCCTGATGTTGTTTCATTTACTCATTCACATTCTGTCATGAAGTTCTCTAAACTTGTTGTACATCGAGAGGAGGTACAGTACAACCTCAGCTTTCGAGCAGCTTGTGCTCTATTCCACAAAATGAGCAAACACGTCTAATACATTAAACTTGATAAATGAGCCATGTCTTGGAATACAACTGTACATGACACCGTGAGTCACATGATCTCAACTGAGCCAATGGCTCTCTTTCCCCTTTCCCTCCCTCGGGATTGTGGGTAATCATCTCCCAACAGCAGGATGTTCTGGAGGAGGTCTCACTGACAAAGGAAAAGGAGGAGAAAAAGGTGGAGGAACATCTCATTTTAAATGAGCTTAGGAAGATGTGTAAAATGTGAGAAGCTGCAAAATTTTCTAGAAAAAGATCCCCCAAATAAGTCTTCAGTAGAGCAAGTGATAAATCTGTTTAACAACAATGCAGTGCCACATCTCTTTTAAAAACTCCTTGAAAGGTGGACAAAACAAGAGTCATTGAATAGGTTCCTTGATAGAGTTGCATCAAAACAGATTTCATAAAGCCAATAGATAGCAGTGCTTGCAATAGTAACAATGAAAGGATCACACAGTACCCGCCTCTCCGGTCTCCCAGCCATGGAGCTTTTCAAATAAGTGCAAATGAATTTATTTTTCTTTATATTGTGTAGTTCCTTTATTATTTTGTATTATATTAGAGTTTTGTAATCATTTTATGTGAATATTTTTCAATTATGGAATAACTCGTCTGAAGAAAGCATCTGAGATTTTATTATTTCTTATGGAAAATTTGCTTTCACAAACAAGTGTTTTGGATGACAAGCACATTGTGGTTATGCTCACAAACCAAGGTTTTACATAGATAAAAATTTTTAAAAATTAATCTTCTCTATGAGCTCAACCTCTTCGGGAATCTAGGAATATAATAAGAAAATTATTAGAGGAGAAGAAGGTGTCAAGAGGTATAAGTAAACAAGCAAAAGTTTTCCAGCCTAGAGATTCAAAGAAGGGTTCTTAATTGAAGTAACAGTTCACCTTTAGGTTTAAGGTTAGAGGCTTGTTCGTCCACACACGTAAACATCATGTTGTCTCACTAGTGGAAGAACTTTAAAGGTAAATAAAGTCTGAAAGGTACAATAGATATTGTGACAGGGAAAGAAACTGTTCAAAGGGAAGAAGCAACTGGGAAGAGCAAAAGAAGAAAGAGAAAAAAAGATATGTATATATCTCTATATCTCTATATCTATATCTATATCTATATCTATACCTCTTGACACCTACTTCTCTTCTAATAATTTTCTTATTATATTCCTAGATTCCTGAAAAAGTTGAGCTCATAGAGAAGATTAATTTTTTAAAATTTTTATCTATGTAAAATATAGATCTATATCTATCTAATAGATATAGATATAGAGATATAGAGATATAGAGATATAGAGATATAGATATATATATTAGCTTGGATAATTGTTCTGCTGATTTCTGCTGTTCTATTGAAAGAAGTATTTAATGCTTAGATTTTTTTTGTCTCTTCTTTTTCATTTTTTGACCAGTTTTGCATGCTTATATCTGGTAATCTGAACAACTAATCATTGTTTAATTCCTGTCATTGGCTTTAGTCATTTCTGTATCCTTTCTTGTTTTTATTTACTATCTTTCATTCTCTTTTCAAAAAATAAATAAATTAAATAAGGTCAGAGAAAGCATTTTAAGTCATGCAAGCATATATACAGGACAGCAGAGATGATTGTGCTACTAATTTCCATCAGTGTTTGAAAGTAGCAGTTAACATTTAAAATTTTTACTTTGACTGACTCTATATGCTAGTATCTATAGTCTGAGCACTACACTAAGGACAGCAATATGCAATATAAAAACCACAGTTGAGTACCTTTCATCTTGTTCTTTTAAATGTGTACCATCTCTAATGCCTTTTCTATCATTAGTGATTATTATTATTATTATTATTATTATTATTATACTCTATTTAAAATAAATTAAAAATAAAGAGTGAAAAGAAGAAAAAAAGTTAAGGTTTGTTGAAAGGAAGAGTTAATGTTTAATTGTTTTACCAATCTTGCATAACTATGTCTGGTAATCTGAGCAACAAATTGGACAATAACTCTAGGCAATATAACATTATTGATTTTCTATTCTTGTTTTGAAATTTTGTAGCACTTGTATTGTTATATGTTGCTCTGTCTCTGCCTTTTTTTTTATATGTTTTTGCTTTTCCTCTTTAAAATAAAAAAAATAAAAGCAAAGACATTTCAAACAAATCATACTGATGTTAGGCAGGAAAATAGCAAAATAACACAGTAAACTCTTAGAACTATGGACACCAGATTCCAGATGGGCCAGTAGTAGCACAAATTTTAAGATAGCATCAAAATCAGACAGGCCACTTAAGCATGCTTAGGAAAATATATGATGTAAACAAACAACAAAAAAAAGTCCAAAGTATTTAATTTACTAATATGCAAATTTTGTTGAATGACATCTATCTTTAGACCACAACAAATCACTCAGTGATGGAAGAGTTGATGTCAATGACTGGAAAATTTATGAAGATCTATCCCTTTGTGAGTCAAGGAGGATTTCACACTGATTTCTTCCTTTTCTTCTGCATCATTTCCTTTTCCCCTTTCACTTACTATGCATCCATCAATGTTACCAGAGAGAGAAAAAGGATGAAGGGCTTGATGATGGCTATGGGCCTTCGAGATTCAGCGTTTTGGTGAGTAGGATGTAGCACAAAAAGATAATGGTGAACCTCAAGAATAGTGGGCATCTTCAAAATGCCTTTATTAACACCTAGTGATTTCCCATACTTATTTTCTCTTAGTAAATGGAGCAAATTGTCTTTAGTGTAGTGTTTGCCAGGCTGAGTAACACCGTGGTTCTCCAAGTGAAGAAAGAAGTTCAGGTTGGCCCAGTGATTGGAAGCAGGAAACATGGGGGTGGTTATGGAGTCTTCTGACAAGACGGTGGTAGGGAAGACAGACATCTCATAGGTGTCTCTGCCAAGGGGAACTGGAATGATATCCAGGACAGAAGAGATTCCTTGAAGACTAAAGCACACGATGGATTTATCTGAAGAAATTAAAGAGCAGAATAGGATTCTGGATAGGAGATAGGTGTTGGGTAATTTGATCTTAAATCAAAGGTTGAGTAATTCCAAGAACAGACAAGGATGCTGTGTAAAGGTAATGTTTGTAGGAAGCTGGAAGTAACATAAGAGAGGATAGGGAGCTTCATAGATTTCAAACAAAGTTGATTAACTCTTATATCACTAAGTCCTTTGATGATAAAATTAGAAAAATACGTATGTCTCAGTTACTCTTTTCTCATTGCTGGGACAAATACCTGACACTCAAAATGAAGGAAGGAAAGGTTTATTTAGCTCACAATGACTAGAGGTTTCAGTCCATACTCAGTTGGTTCCAAGACAGAGAGGCACATGGCAGAGGGCAACAGTTCAAGGCAGTGGAAGGCAGCAAAACAGCAAGAACAAAAGGGAGGAGTAGCAGCAACAATGGCTGCAAAACTGTAAGAGCGAGTCTGTCTCCCCTAAATTACATTCAGGATACCCCCCAGGCTGGGTGTAGCACTCACACCCATAATCCCAGCAGTACTCACACCCGTAATCCCAGTCTCGGATCATAAATTAGTCACAAGCTATAGAACCGCACCTCAGTGACTACATGAGGTTGTAGGGGGACAAATACACACAAACCATAACAACATACATGATATTCCTGCCTAAGGCTGTGGTGAGAAGTATGTGATTTGATATTATAGCCCAACACACAATAGTGGCTATATATATGCTATTTTTTTTTCATTTTAAGTTACTATTTAATTATGCCTTTTAAAAACTATTGGAAAACAAGATAAAGAAGCCATATGTACAATCCACCTAGCTCCCTAAATTCTCCGATGTGACTTCATTCTTTCTATAAACATCACCTGCATAAAGAGAACCTTGTCCATTCTTGGAATGATTCAACCTGTGAGATCCGACTACCCAACCCCTGCTCAACTCCTATTCTGCTATCTCACTGTAACTGTATTATAGCTGCAGAACTCACAATAAATGACTACTGGAAGCACCCTAAACATCCATCAGCAGATCAGTGCATAAAGAAAATACGGCATTCATACGCAACAGCATACCGCTCTATTCTATAGAAAGATAAATGAGCTATTTTTAGGAAAAATGGGTGCACTTTGAGGCCACAATGATAAATAAAATAAATCAGATGACAGCTCAAATATAGCAGGGCTCACCTTACAAGAAAGACCCAAAATATAAATAAAGAGCAAAATAAAAGAGAGGTCATAGAAAATATGGAAACAGATTTTTTGCAACTGGGAATGTAACCGAGAGATGGCAGGAGAGAGAGAAAGGAAGGGAGAAGGAGGGAAGGGGAGGAAAGAGGAGGGAAAAAAAGAATTAATAAATGAGATAAAACACCTTACATTCAAAGTTAAAGAAGGAAATGTTTATTTTGGCTCACAGTGTGTTGAGGTTTCAATTTATAGCCCACTGAAGGCAAGGGAAGGTGGCGTGGCAGAGTGGCATCACAGAGGACAAACAGTCCATGGCAGAGCAGGCAAGGGGCAGCAAGCAGCAAGAAGCAGCAGCAAGTCTCCCTTACCCTTTTTTCCCATCTAGTCTTCCAGCATTTTTGGTGCAGCCACCCACACCGACTGAGCTCTCCCATCATCCATGCCTGTCAAGGTTTGGGGATTTTTGCAAGGGAAATAATATAACACAGGACACATTTCATAATATTTTATAATGAATCACCCAAAAAATTATATGAAACAAGTGCAGTAAACCTGTCCACACACTACACACTAAAGAATCCAGTAAGAATCTAGGCTGAAGGCCTAGAGCTTATCACAATGCCTCCCACAAGTCCAGCTGAAGGCCTAGAGCCCACAACAAAGTCTCATGCAGATCCACTTCATGGATCTGTGCTGGAAAGGCCCAAAGTTCAGTGGTGGAAGCCAGGAAGTCTATGCCAGTGCTACCAAGCTGAGGGATCTGAACTGGAGCGAGGAAGCAAGGCTAATGGTAAGCACCAGAGTGTCCCCAAAAGCACGTCAGCAACAGTGAAGTACTGAGCTCCTCCAGAAATGAGGAAAGCTGAGTTCCCATCAGGAAAGCCAATGCAACAAGCTTCTCCATGAGGCTGAGCAGTGCACCATCTTCCCCTCTGGAGCTAGGAAGCGATGCTCAAGATGAGCATATCCTAAAGCCCTCAATAAATATCTGCTGAGTGAAAACATGAATGAATGAATGAATGAATGAATGAATGAATGAATGAATGAATGAATGAATGAGCAAATAAAGAAGTGATTTGTTCCGAGCAGGCCCTCCTTATTGCTGAGCATGCAATTCTAAAACAGCGCTGTTTTTCCGCATCAGGCTTTCCTGGGGTTTGCTCTATGCTGGTTTCACCCTCGTTCTGGCCTTCCTTCTGGCACTTGTCATAAAGTCGATCCAGTTTTTCTTCTTGGCAAACTTCATGGTGGTCTTTGCACTCTTTCTTCTCTATGGATTGTCTATGGTGAGTCGAATTAAATTTCTCCCTATTCATTTATTAGTCCAACAATCAAAAATGGTTATTCTATTTTTCTGCGGGCTGTTTGCATGTGAAAATCTGTGGATTTGGCGAAACATAATTTTGTGTGTTATATGTAAACAATAATGTATAGTAAATCTCTACCGTTGTACTGATAGTGCGCATTCTTAGAGATCTGTAACCTGGCTGGAACTGCTCTCGTTGTAGACCGCACTGGCGTTCTTAATGAGCGTGTTGATAAAGAAGCCTTTCCTCACCGGCCTGGCGCTCTTCTTTCTCACGGTCTTCTGTGGGAGTCTGGGGTTCACAGCACTGTACAGACACCTTCCTGCATCCTTGGAGTGGGTTCTAAGCTTGCTGAGTCCCTTCGCTTTCACTCTTGGAATGGTTCAGGTGAGGAGTCACGCCACGTTTATCAGCGGCATCTTTTCCTCTCTAGGATGCCGTTATCCGCATTCATCTTTACGCTTTCTACAGTAAGATTTAAGACCCCACATTGACTTCACAAGGATGAAGTGCTAAGAGCTGGGAAGTACTTAGCTCAGCAGGATGTAGAAAGTGAGACAAAGGGCTGGCGAGATAGCTCAGTGGACTAAGCGCCTGTCTAGCCAAGAACAGGGACCGGGCTTCGATCCCTGGTACCACATGCCACGTCAGCCCTGCCCCCAGGTGCACTGACCCAGCGACCGAGTCCTGGCCTGGTGGTGCACACCCGGAATCCCAGCACTGGGGAGTCTGAAAACAGGAGGATCACTGTGAGTCCAAGCTGCATAGTGAGACCCTGTACCAAATACATAAATTTTTTTAAAAAAAAAGAAAGTTAAACAAAAAATGGGTCAGCAATGTATAATTCTGTAGAGATAATATAAAGTGTTACTTTAGGCTACTAATTATGTATTTGATTATATAAATACAGCGCAACTAAGTATAAGCACCCTATGTACAGTAGAACATCAGAACATAGTCCTCCTTTCTATCTGTAACTGGATACCTGCCAATCAGGGCCTCTCTATCCCCTCCCCTTTTACCCTCCAGCTTCCGGTGGCCCCTCTTTTATTCTCTACTTCCATGAGGGTAGTTTCCACTCATATTTTGTCCTAGCAATTGAAGAGTGCATGTGTCTATGAAAAACAAATGGTAAAACAACATTAGATTAAAAAAGAAAAACCCTCAAAAATATATTAATTGACTAATAGTTATGTTTCTTTTCACAAAACATCTTTCTTACTACATTTACTTTGCTTCCTCTACAATTAAATGAATTAACCATTCCTTTTCTTAGTGCTTAATAAGAGGATTTTTTTAAATTATAAAGCACTCATTAATTTAAATATAAACCAGCACACTCTTTCCACTGGCACTCTTTATAAGTACACAGGTATTTTGTTCACCCAGAGTGAAAATTCCCCCTAAAATAGCCATTTTCAAAGAGTATATCTTTTTGATGTCCTGTTTAGCAAAAGACCAAAAGTTAACAAAAGAACTGTGACTATTTTCCCCTGCCTCCTTCTAATACTCCAAATTCACTTAAAGCATACTTACATCGTAGCATTAACTAAATTGCATTATAGTTGATCACATGATTTCCAATACATCTGGAAACCATGAAGCAAGCAATGCTTTCTTAGTATTCTGTTACTAGGACAAGGCGATTAGTAGCTATTCTATTCATATGCTAAATGTAACTATTTAAAAATTCATTATAAAATCTAATTCCTCATAACTTTTTTTCTTAATTTTCAGCTTTTACGTTGGGACTATGATTTGAATTCTAATGCATTTCCTGGCTCTTCTGACGACTCAAATCTGATTATAGCAACACTCTTCATGTTGGCATTTGATACTGTCGCTTACCTGGTATTGATGATATACTTTGAAAAAGTTTTGCCAAGTAAGTAGTGATGTCAAAATAAAATATGTTTACACTTTTATTTCCCATAATGAATCTCAGTAGATATGTATAGTTTATATTCAAAGAACTACTTTGTGAATCAACAGGAAGGAAATAGACAAAGTCATAGCCCATGACCAAATTAGTTCTTCATTTCTTTCTTGTAATTTTGACTCTTCAGAACTACAGCCTGAATTTTGCATGTCCAATTGCTAATCTTTATTTGAAATTCACTCTTTTCATTGTGCAAGACTTGTTCATATTAAAGGAAATGCTTAGAAAGCTTATTCCTAAATGGCAATCATGAAAATTCATGGCTACTTTTATATAACTACTTAGCTTGGTACTGCTGAGCCCTGGCTGTACATTGAAAAGAACAGGGAGCCCAATACTTTCTAGAGAGTGATACAGTTCATCAGAGGTAAGAGCTGAACAGCTGTGCTTTAAAACACATTCCTAGAATTTCACAAGTGTTGCTGTCCTGTAAATTCTTACTTCATCACTTTGCCACTTACAGTAACATGAATTGCATGAGAACAGGGAATCTATTTTGTCCACAGATGCAACACAAGTATCTACACTGGTATCTGATGAACTCTTTAGTCTCAGTTAGTATTTGTGATCATGGAGCAGGGGAGATAGCTCAGTAGAATAAGTGCCTGCCTGGCAAGCTCAAGGTCCTGAGTTCAATCCCTGGTACCACAAAAAGCAAGCAAACAAAAATTGTGATCAATGCAGTGGTTCACTTTCTTTGCTTCTTTTTATTATTATGTATTTTCTCTTGGTTTGAATTGACATGATAATTGTACACTGTGATTTTTAAACAGTCGCAAAAGAGGTGCTCATTGAAAAATAACCATATGCCAGGCATACAGAAAAATCTCAGGAAATATTTACTGCATAAATGTTTGACCAGGTGAAAAATACACATAAATTTGCCAACACATGAGCCCTACACTGGAGACTATTTGCAGAACATTGAAGAAATATGATTCTTCCATTTTGAAGGTTTCCTGAATGTTAGAAACACAGAAATTACAGTAAAATATACAAGTACATTGTGGCTTAGTTTCCAATAATACATTTATGGTTAGAATGTCCCTAAATCAGGCCATAAATTGGTTTCAGTGGAAAAGTTGTATTTGGGAATAAAATAAAGATGACATATAAAGTTGATATTTTTCCAAGTTCCCTTTTGCATTGTTTGGATAAATTATTTTTTGCTCTTTGCTCCTCTTTCTAACCCTAGTGTCATTTACTTTGTTAAATCTTATTCTATCTTTCCTTTGAATACCCACTGCGTAGCTCCAACAGTCACTATCAATACCTTCTCCTTTATTAAAGTGACGACATCTGGTTTCCTAAACAGAATTCAGTTCACTTTGTAGCCCAGGTTGGTCTTGAACTCACAACAATCCTCTTGTCTCAGCCTCCTGAGTGCTGGAATTACAGGCGTGAGCCACCACGCCTGACTATATTGCATTTTTATTCCAAGCTTGCTTTCTTAGGGAAAAGAAAATTCTAAACATATATTGAAATTTTCCTGAAAAAAAAAATTCAACCAGTTTCGTTGCTCTTTATAAAATCAGTTAATATAATACAGATATGTTGGTCTGATGCTGCTACAAACCAAAACACACTCACAGGGACTGGGGTGCAGCTCACTGGTAAAGCAGCATCTATGATGGGAGCAGCCCTGGGTTCAATCCCCAGCATGAAGAAAAAGAAAAACAAACAAGAAAAGAACATGCATTAACTTGGATTGAACTCATGATCAGCTTGAGCATCAGAACAGTTTGATTACCAGGCTGTGTGTGCACGGCTCTCTTTAAGTAGTGTTTGAGCTGACATTTGTCTCCTGGTCCTCCAGATGAATATGGATATCAATATTCACCTTTGTTTTTCCTGAAGTCCTCCTTTTGGTCACAACAACAGACTCATCATGGAGCCCTCGAAAATGTGACAGGTCCCAGTCTTTTACCCAATGACTCTTTTGAACCAATGTCTTCGGAATTTCAAGGGAAGGAAGCCATCAGGTAACAGGGACACAAAGAGAACACGCCCAAGGTGGGTGCTAATAGACTGGGCCCTGTGGACAGCTCCACCTAGGCTTGCCCATGCCTTACCCTTCCTTTCTCTTTTGGTTCAAAGACAAATTCCACTGCAGATCCCTTGCAGTGACACACCATTGATACGTACGTGAAATTAAAACTTGAGTTTCCCCATCAACGCCTTCCCTGGGTTCTCAGCCTTTCTTAGTCTTGCTCACTTCACATCTCCTTCCCCTTCTATTTGCTATCTCTTAAAAGCAGGTGAAGGAATGGGAAAGAGGACAAGAAAGAAGCCCGGAGATAGACATGAAGGGGATTGAAAAACATGTGCCAGCTAGTCATCCCTGTCCTTATTCTGTGTAAAAACAAAATAGCCACTTTGTTTTAGGCTGATAACTTATTTATAAATAAGAATAAAACCCTCAGGTCCTGAGTGAGTGTCCAGCTCTAATTCACCAACAAATTGCCAGCAATTGTCAGTCCTTTGTGACTGTCAGATTTCTCAGCCCGTCTGAATTTCAGGAGCCTGTTTAATTTCAGCCTGTTCCATTCCTGTGCTCCACACTTGTGTTTGGCCTGCAACTTCAGCTAAACCTAACTCCAGCAGAGTTGCTCAAAGCAACATGACAACTTTATTTGACATGATTGTGTGGGTCTCTCTGTTTCTCTCGAATCTCTTCAGCCACCCCACCCAACTGAGAAATGACAATAAAATGGGATCTACATAGAAACGGGAACATTATAAAAAATATTTAATATGAATGGAATCTGAATGCCGTAATGAATTACAGATGACAAAACAAGAAACATAATTTTGGTTCAACTTATGAATGCTACTTACATGTTAGAAAAAGCCAGGCCAATAAACATCTGGGATTGCAGGTCTCTAATGGCATGCGGAATATGCTAATTCCACTCCATCCCATTCCCAGGCTCATCATCATCTAACTAAAATCATCTTATGCTCATCGACTGTCTACCAGGGACCAAGCCCTGGGCATACTAGGGGGAATATTTTATTTACCCTCCAGTACTCCAACAAGTACTCCAAAATTTCAGGTTCTGAAAGCTGAAACTTACCCGGAAGGAGTACACTGGTTAAGGTAACAGAGAAATCAAGTGGTATAGATAGGAAGCGTTCAGGTGGGTAGGACTGTGAAGCCAATGTGCTTGCTATTAGGGCGCACTGGCCCTTTCCTTACTCCTCCCCTTACGGACCCTCTGGAGCGTTTGACTCAGGATGGTCCAAGATATCGCGAGTCCGTGCCAGGGTTTCACAGGGAGCCCTGTAGTCTTAGATGCCCCTATCTCGCAGCCTGGCTTCCTTAGATTTGCATTTCAGAGAGGAGCTTCTCCACCTCTAACATTAGGTCACCCCTGTCCACGGCATCTCAGGTTCTGTGGAAGGGACCCACTAATGAGCTTTATAAAACTCCTCGGATGATGCTGATGTGCAACGTGGCTAAGAAACAGCCTTCTAGAAGGTTCTGTCACATGACTGTGAACTCCCAGCTCTTTCTGTACCTGGAGGACGTATTCAACTCAGCCAACCAAACTAGAATTATAAGCTGAAGAAAACGCTCACATTGAAGTGCCTTTTCTTTTTTCAGAATCAGAAATGTTACAAAAGAATATAAAGGAAAACCTAGTAAAATAGAAGCTATAAAAGGTAAAACAAAAATTTTATTGATACTGAGTTACTAATTGAAGTTCAATCTTTTTGCTTCTAATGAGAAATGAATGCTAATAATAATTACTGTTATCTCATATTTGAAAATTTATTGGTGCCATATGGTGAATGTTCCCTTCCAACAATGGAGCATCCATTTTATAAAAGTTAGAAAATGTAAATATTTTGGTCTCGTGTGTATTTAAAAATCACGCTGTGCCTTATTGAAGTAGCCTAGGAATATTTTCAGATTTGTCTTGGTAAACTCACAAAAATTGTTACATAATCCAAAAACTTCTGGTGTATACTATACATTTTACTTTTCCTCAAGAAAAGCAAGAGATACTTAATTCAAATGAGTTTTTTCCATGGGATAATTTATTCTTGATCTGTTCTTCCATTCAATAACTATTAACATCACCCACCATTTGTTAGGCAATGTCAATTGACCTAAGTCCATAAGGCATGTTTCATTCATTTAAACCAAGTAATTGGACTAGGGAGATAGCTCAGAGGCTTAAGCACCTGCCTCACCAGGGCAAGGTCCTGTGTTTGATGTCCAGTGCTGCAAAATAAATAAATATATAAATACAAGTAATTCAAATTTTTCTAGAAAATATTCTATGAAAAATAAGTTCATAAAGATTATTTTATTAGTTTTATTTTCGGTTTAATAAGCCAGTATATTCACACCTAGAAAGTACAACTATTCAAGGAGAAACAGTCCATTGACTCCATAATAGAGTTTTATTATTAAAGTTGTTTTCCTTCCTTTCTTCTTTCTCTTTTTTCCTTCTTCTGTCTTTCACTTCTTCCTTGCCTTTCTCCTCCTAGACCTGACATTTGACATATATGAAGGCCAAATCACCGCCATTCTTGGCCACAGTGGAGCTGGAAAATCAACACTGTTAAATATCCTAAGTGGGTTGTCTCTCCCTACCGAAGGTATGTGTCATTCTTTTTTTGTAAGTCAAGAGACAAATCAATCAGCTGCTAATATAAAATCCTTCCGATTATCAACACAGACACAGAAACCAATGAAAACTAGAAGTTTAATTATAACATTACACTATAAAAGTATGTAATTGCTTGGTATCTAAGGAATATATTTTATAATAATTATCTTCATGATCATTAATTACTATGTGAGATTTCACTTTTCATCTGTCAGGTTTTGCTGCATAACAAGCACTCCCAAATCTTAGGGTTCCAAATAAAAATGTTTTATTTTTTCCCATGATTCTGTGAGTTTCCTGGGCACTTTTTCCTGATCTGTACTGAAGTGACTGGGAATGAGTGGTTTGGCGTAGCTTCCCCAGATTTTTAGCTTTAGTTAGGACAGCTGCACATGTCTTCCTGCATGGACTTTTCATTTCCCAGGAGGCTAGCCTGGTATTCTTCTCTCACTAACCAGCAGCAACAGGAGACAAATAAGAATACGGAAGAGCTTCATCGCCCTCTGTGTGCATCATCCTTGCGAAGGTCTCCCTGGGCATCGAGCCAAGTACGAATGACAGAAGTGAGAAAGAGCAATGGAAATTCCCATTTTCCTGGGAATGCTTTTCAAATACCTTACAAATGAAACGGAAGTTTATAATCCCTAAATTATATAAGTCTTGGTGATAAAAATCAGACAGACAGACAGATACTTTTTTATTTGGAAATATTTTAACTTCCTCTTATCCTGATATTAACACTGAATTTTTGGGACAGGTTCTGTCATCATTTATAATAACAGACTCTCAGGAGGAGCTGACCTAGAAAGTGTCACCAGGATCACCGGAGTTTGCCCACAATCTAATGTGCAATTTGACTTCCTCACTGTGAGAGAAAACCTCAGGCTCTTTGCTAGAATAAAAGGGATTCAGCCACAAGAAGTGGATAAGGAGGTAAGTAAACATGGTGGAACGAATGTAGGGGGGAAGATGAAATGCTGAAGACTTTTCTTCCTGCATTAAATTACCTGTGAGTAGGTGTAAATGCTAGACAAGAAAATTCAGTGAAACAATAGCTAATGTTTACATATAGCTTACAAAGTGCCAAGCGGATCTTTCAGCAGAGATGTTAAAGCTCATCTAGTTCTCAGACACAAAGCAACATGTTATATTTCTCATTTTACACATGTGGAAACCAAGCTTCGAGACATAGGTAACTTGATCAAACTTGGGCAGCAAGTTAACAATCAATAGGTAGCATTCAAACTTGGGCAGTTTGGCTCTGATATCCTTGCTTTGATCCACCACATGTCACAGCCCTGTATTTATAATGTTAAGAAGAGTGAGAGAGATAAATCTCGGATGACGTCATAAATATTGTCTCTTTTGTTTAGGTCCAAAGAGCCTTGCAGGAATTAGAAATGAAAAACATTCAGGGTGTCCTTGCTGGAAACTTAAGTGGAGGACAGAAAAGGAAACTTACCTTTGGGATTGCCATTTTAGGAGACCCTCAGGTAGGTCAGATTAAATTTACAAGTGAATTCAAATGTCAGAAAGTGAAACTAAAAAAAAAAAAAAAAAGAAAGAAAGTGACATTTTTGGTAATAGCTAAAAAAACTGTTTAATTTCCAAAGGATACATGTAATAAAATACTCACAATACAACATTCACTAGAACAGTAAAATCCTAAGCACGATACTCCTTTGACCATAAGTAAGTTTTCTGGAGGAAAAATCTCCTGCAACGGAATCAACATGCCTTCTTTGTAGATTTTCCTCCTAGACGAGCCCACAGCAGGGCTGGATCCCTTCTCCAGGCACCGTGTCTGGAACTTCCTGAAGGAGCATAAAGCCGACCGTGTGATCCTCTTCAGCACCCAGTTCATGGATGAGGCAGACATCCTGGCCGGTACCTGCTGTGTTGGTTAAGTTTTCTGATGGGGCCTGTAACATATTTGAGAAATACACACTGGTATTGTGAAGGACTTTACATGCATTTCTAATCTGTCCATCTGGCTGTATTTAGTAATCTGAAGATCTAGAGATGGCATGAACTAGATCGAAAGCATCATATCCCCAACCACGTCAGAGCATCTTGCAAATTTTGTACTATTTTGATTACAGAGATTTGAGTACAGATCTGCCAAGGATTCATCTATTATGAATTTCATATCGTTTCCTCTCATCTAGGGTGTTAACATAACTCCTTAATGCTCCATATGATTAATTTATTTACTTAGATTTGGTGCAAATCAACTTGAAATATTCAAATACTCCATTGTTTGTTCCATTATACTCTACGGTGTGCCCATTTGCTGTAGCACCAAGTTGTATTCATATAATTTTATCTCCTCAGCTCTGTAGACAGCAATATATTCGCATAAATTCCATAAATTAGATTAAACTATGTGTAATTCCTGGAGTTTTTCTAACACCCTGTCTTTGAAACTGAAACTGTAGAAGCTCCTGAATTAGAGCTAGATTATATAAATGATAACATATCCTTCCTCTGAAATAAATGAGCAACTTCTTAGAACTTTTTCCTTTACTTTTTTCTTTTCAGATAGGAAAGTGTTTCTCTCCCAAGGGAGGCTGAAGTGTGCGGGCTCTTCTCTGTTTCTGAAGAAGAAATGGGGAATCGGTTATCACCTGAGGTAGGGCCACTTGAGAGGCCAGGAGTAAGTACGAATGAGTCTAGAGTAAAGGAAGATGATTAAAGCAATCATGAGAATACATAAGAAAGTTTTTTATGATTATGTATAGAGGCGAACGCATTGGGGTGGAGCTGTGGATATAGTGTGCGCACTAAGAGGTATCAGTTGGCAAGTCATGGAGATTGAAAATATAAGACAGGAACAAAAAGTTGGATGTGATAGAAAATATACCCACACTGGGCCAGAGAGATAGCTCAGCAGCATAAGCACAAGGTCCCAAGTTTGAAATCTGGTACTGAAAAAAACAAAAAGGAAAGAAAATATACCCATTATACATTATTTGTTAAAGGAAGTATGCATGGAGGGAACTTTTCCACCTGACACCATTTGTATTTCGTGTTGCTGCCTCTGATCCAGGGGGTTAACATCACTCCTTCAGCAGGCTACTCACTTCCACCCCTCAAGCTCTTTCTCCTTTTTCTTGCTTGTCGTCTCCCCACTGAATTGGGCACGCATCAAAATAAAGATACACTTTAGGCTGAGAGGGCTCCCATCTTGTCCGGTTGAGAATCATTAGGGGGAATTTCCCAATCCTCTGGGGACACAGCCCAGAACCCCAGGTCCCTACCTCGTTGTTTACCTCAGTATTTACTCTGGCATTGAGAAATATTTCTTGAACTGTTTTTATTTGGACGAGCAGTGTCATGGAGAATAGTGACAATGTTTTTGTTCACCTTTCAGTGGAGTTAACTATTTCTAAAAATGACATATGGTCTTACAGATTCATACATGCCTTATGAGTAAATAAATAACTTTGCCTTAAGCAGCTGGCTTACCACTTTTAATAACTTGCTAAGTAAGGGTGGACATCGCTGTTTTCAGGTCTTAGAGCACCCCATATATTAGAAATCTTTATTTTATCTTTAAATGAGGAAAGTGTTCTGATAGGATAAATTACCAATAGGTTTCAAATGGCAAAACCAAGTTTCAAAGTAATGTCTTTACAGATCTTTACTGTATACCTTAGAATCTTGATCACTAGATTTTGTTTTGCTCTGTGTTTGCTTTTCTACAATGGGGAAATATCTGTGGTGCTCTCAAATAGACAGACTGCTCTTCCCAGTGATAACTTTGTTCTCACTCAAAGTTCTGGACTTGACACTACAAAGGAAGTTAGAATTTGAGCTCCCCAAACCCAGGTTCATTTATAATTAGTTTCTGTCTGTCAGCTAGTATCTTTCAGAACGCTCACTATTATTTATAATCTTTATACATATCACTGTTTCTTTCCTGCCTTCCCATTAGACAGTTCCTTAAGAGCAGAAGTGTTTCTCTTTTTCTTTTTAAATAATTAATTATGTATGTATGTATGTATGTATTTGGTACAGGGTCTCACTATTCAGCTCAGACTCATAGTGATCCTCCTGTCTCAGCCTCCCCAGTGCTGGGATTATAGGTATGTGCTACCATGCCCAGTTTCAGTGGCCAGCATGATGCCCCTGGAACTGGCCAGCGCAGCATGCAGTACCAGAGATCAAACCTGGGTTCTTGCATTTACCAGGCAGGTGCTTAGACCACTGAGCTATCTCCCCAGTCCCAAGAGTGTTTTTGTCTCTCAGCATTTAATGCTATGTTGGCCACATACTTAGACATTGATGCACTTGCACTGGATGAATAAAATGAATAGCCAAACCTGGGGGGCATCTATGAATAGCAATTCATTTGTTCTTTTGAACTAGAGCAATAATCCTATTTAAGTGATTTAAGCTTTCTTTGAACACAGTCCTTGACATTATCCATCTTGCGTCGTCCTGATTTGATACACCACTGATATTTTTAATCTGGAGTCATTTTCCGTTTGGGACCTGACTCTCTCAGCATAATCTATGAGCAAGCAGACAGTAGCTCCAAATAGCTACTTCCTTTCCTTTCTCCACCACACTCATGGAATCAGGTTTTTTATTACATTTGTTTGTGTCTTCCTATTTCCTGTTTGTGTGACATATTCTTTGCATTAGATTTTAACAGATTTTCTTGGTCATTTAGAGATGAATCGTTATTTCTATGCTGTTAGAAACTTGTCAAATAACATGTACTGTTCTTGAATATCAGTTTGCAGTTGAATGAAGTATGCTCTCAGGAAAACATAACATCACTTATTAAACAGCACATCCCTGCTGCCAAATTGTCAGCAGAAAGTGAAGGAAAACTTGTCTATATCTTACCATTAGAAACAACCCATAAGTTCCCAGGTAATGCATGTGATCACAGTGAAATGAGAGATTAAAAACAATTTCGTAACAAAACAATAATTAACAATCATTTTATAACAATAATTTTATATCTAACATTTATGGAAAACTTGCAATGCATTCTATGATTGATATTTCCTCGAAGAATGGTAAAATTATGATTATTTTGTATGTAGTAGAAAATAGTGTTATGTTTTAATAATTGCATTGTAGGGCTTGGGTATTTTAGAGAACGTTTAGTCCTCTTTCTCCTTGTAGAAGACCAGCTTGCAATTCATAGCTGTGCATGGTGTGATTATGGTATGCAGTGGTGGACTAAATAAATTATTAGAGTAAAAGATACATTGTCATCAGGCCTCCTCCAAATACTATCTTTGAACATGTTTCATAGCATTCTCACCACTTTCTGAAGCAGTTCTACAAGCCCTCTTTCATACGCATCTGTGTGTGTGTGAGTGTGTGTGTGTGTGTGTGTGTGTGTGTGGCCAGCTCAGCCCACCAGGGGGCGGGGCTGGCTGGCATGTGGTGCTGGGGGATTGAACTGTGGTCCCTGTGCTTTGCTAAGCTTGTTCTAAGTAGGTGCTTTAGACCACTGAGCCATCTCACCAGCCCCCATACACATCTTTATAAAGTGAAATCAAAGCTACAGTGAGGCTGGGGAGATGGCTTGAAGGTCTAAGCACCTGCCTGGCAAGCCCAAGGACCCGGGTTTGACCCCTGGCACCCCATGCTGTGCCATCCCCAGAACCCCAGGCATGCCGTGCAGGCCACCGAGACAGGGCATGGTGATGCACTCCTGTAATCCCAGCACTGGGGAGGCTGAGACAGGAGGATCATTAGGAGTCTGAGCTGCATAGCATGACTCTGTACCAAATAGATAGATAGATGATAGATAGATAGATAGATAGATAGATAGATAGATAGATAAGCTAAAATAAAGCCACAGTGAAGGCTTCTGCCACTGGCCATCCAACACAAGCCAGGATCATAAAAACACGTTCTCACCCACATATCCACCTGATCTGGCACCATGAGACTTCCAGTTCTTCCTCAAAGTAAAAACAACCATGAAATGTCAGTGCTGTGAACGGATTCCAGATAGCGAGGCATTGCACGGCAGCGCAATTAGGATCACACCTTGTGCATAGACACAAAAAGTCGAAGCACCTGGTTTAACCACTTCATTAAATAGTAGCCCAGAATGTGGTCATCCTCTTGACCCAGTTTCTTTGTATAATAACACTGGAATTTTTATTTTATTTGTTTGTTTGTTTATTTATTCATTTTGGCGGAACCGAGGATTGGACTCAGGCCCTTGTGCTTGCCAGGGCAGCGCTTATTCCACTGAGCCATCTCCCCAGCCCTGGAATTTTTAGATGTGTATATACAAGTCTACTACTTATATTTGTCACTCAGGGATCTGCTTGCCGACAGTGAGGCGCTAGGAAGATATACATTGACAGGTTGAAACAATCAACCTTGCCACATATGTGGGAGGTTTAAAAGGGCTCCTAAATTATGCTGTGAGGTAACTCTGGCACACATTTTGTAGTAATAGAACAACGTTCTTCAGAGTCCAGAGGCAAAGCATCACTCCAGCCATAACTGACGCATTTTAATTTAGATGACATTCGTAAAAGTTTTAAGCAGAATGAACAACGATGCATTTTAAATCTTACTCATTTTATACTTTTTTTCTGTACGATAGTCTATACTACACTGAAACTTCTAATTTATCCAAGTAGACACTCCAGGTTGAAGCCTCATGGATTACATAATCACATAGAACAGAATCCTGTTGTTAGCTAAGCTTCATTTCATTAACTTGTATAACTGAAGTCTATGTAGACAAAGACACTGTTGATTCTTTTATAAACAATGGCTGAGGCCAAAGTATTTTTTGGTGAATGAACCGAAGCGTGAGTGAATCGAAAGTTGATGGAGGGAGCGATCACTCATAGTTTCCTAGTATTCCAAGAAAATTTCCAATCAGTTCTTCATTCTCTGTCTATTAATGCTTGTCAATTTTTCTTTCCACATCAGAAATATAATAATTTTAATAAATGACATATCCTTTGACACATATTTTCTGAACTAAACTTATACATCTTCCAGTTCTCGAAAAAATTATTTCCAGGGCCAGCCAGATAGCTCAGCAGACTAAAGTGCCTGCTTAGGCAGAGCACAGTGGCATGGATTTGATCTCTGGTGTGCCATGCTGGTCCTGTCCCAGCGACTGGGCATGGTGGCACGTGCCTGTAATCCCAGTGCTTGGGAGGCTGAAAATAGGAGGATCACTATGAGTCCGATCTACGTAGTAAGACCCTGTAGACCCTGTACTAAATACATAAAAATAAAAATTATTGCCTACATTTTTATTGGTCATGGCATAAATGGATCCCTGTTATAACTGTTCTTTGGAAAAGACTCTTCAGTTAACTAGGCTTAGAGTTCAGAAATATAAAGTCTCATAATTAACTAAATTTTAAAAGCAAGTCAGCAAAATATTAAAATAAAACTAATGTAAATGATTACGAATTAATATTTGATCATAAAAAGTAATATTTGGGCTAAAGTACATAATGTAAAATATCAATGCATATAATTTGAAACTTGAGATTATTTATGAAATGTTAGTTTTTACTGTAGTCTTTTTTTATGGATTTAGTCTACTCATAGTGATCCTCTTGTTTCTGCCTCCCAAGCACTGGGATTATGGGCACATGCCACTATGCCCAGTCTCAATCTCTGTCTCCATGTGCCCGAGAGGCGGGGCCAGCACGGCATGCTAGGGATCAAACCCCAGTTCCTGTGTCTACATAAGTAGGCACTTAAGTCCGCGGAGCGATCTGCCCAGCCCTGAAATGTTGCTTTTTAAAATATGCGTGACAGACCAGAGAGATAGCTCAGTGGAATAAGTGCTTCCCTGGCAAGCACAAGGTCCCGAGTTCCATCCGTGGTACCAACAAAACATAAATAAATAAATAATAAATAAAATAAGTGTGACATATTTTAAATATAGTTTCACATATTTGCATTTTTTAGTTTGGAAAGATGCTCTCAGTAATTTTTGTTTCTTTGATTGATAGTTGTATTTGTATTCTTTAGACCTTTATAAGGACCTTGATAACTGTCCTAGCCTGGGAATAGAGAATTATGGTGTTTCCATGACAACCCTGAATGAAGTATTCCTGAAATTAGAAGGAAAATCAGCAACTGAAAAATCAGGTAAACAAAACGCATGAAAACTGTCATGTAAAATTACTCACACACACACACACACCCCAGTGCACGACTATAATCCCCATGCTTGGGATTACAGAAAAAAGATAAACATAGTTCCAAAGACCAAAGATGTAATTTCGAAATGTGTGGTTCCATGCTAAGGACCATCCAAGCATTATGCTCAGATAAGCTGTATCCTTGGATAATGTTGCCTTGTCCTAAAATAGCTCATATACCCCCACGTATGGCTGTATATCCTCCTCACGTCACCAAGCTTCTAGGAGCAATTTTTCTCAAAACATTCCATCTAAACCTCTATCTTTGCACACTTGTGGATGTGCCCCACTCTCTGCTGACATCTGTGAACTTCTTCTTTTAACGATTTATTTGGTTGTTTGTTTGTTTGTTTTTGGTGGTACTGGGAATCGAACTCAAGACCTTGTGCTTGACAGGAAAGTGCTTATGCCCTGAGCTATGCTCCCAGGCCTTATCTGTGGA